CCAAAAACGTAAAATTTTTCCGAGATGGAATTCATCAACTGCCTGAAAGATGGTTTAAAGTTATAGAAAGTAATGGCGAATACTTTGATTGAAAAATTCAATTTACTTTCTTTTAAAATAAACATTGAATATTTTGTAATACTTTTTTCATTAATACCATATTCCAGCCTTTCTGTAATATTATTCACAAGCTCCTTTTCGATTTTAAAACTTTGCTTCCTCGAACTACTTTACTTATTGTACATTTATTTTAATTTCATTCAGCGTTATAAAATTTTTAGTAAAGTTAAATTGATTGAATGTAAGAAAACGAGATAATAAGGTCGCTTCAAAAAATTCAATCTCTACTTAAATTTGCATTTTCCAAGAAGGACGAGCAAAATGTCCGGTAACTTATGGACGCTGACGTATGTGACCCGAGAAAAAAAGGTTGAGTATGGCTGTTCTAGATGATCGAAATACCACGCTATGCGAGGGAAGGTTGACTTTAAAGGACATTCAATTTGGAAAGTCAGTACGTTAAAAAATTCATCAGGGGAAACAAAGGCTTCATTTTCAGTCGCTGGAAACGGAAGAAATACAAAAAAATACCGCGAAACGACGCTCGCTTCTCGATATTGTTCATCTTTTCCCTCCCAACCCCCTTCGCGGGGCATACGACACACGGGAAGCGATACGCGGGATAATAGGACGTGGCCAGACCTGACCGACCGATAATCCTGGCTTATGAATTATTCAAGCGTAAAGTGCAAGAGCAAATTTGCCGTCTGTCTTCGTTTCTGGAAGTCGAGACACTGACCGGTCGGACCAACGTGTGTGACCTCGCCTTATAACGGATTTAGTTTTCCACCAGCCCGATGAATAATTCATCCACGTCCAGTGATACGGGCATGCGAGAATTGTTGACCTATCGTATCCGTATCGCCAGCGCCCTTTATTTTTGGCAACGGATCTTTCGACGCTTCGCTTCCCACCTATCTGCCTCGCGAGATCTCTGACAGCTTTCTGAAATTCCTGTCGTTTGGTCTCGCTGCTACGTCCGTTACTCTCTTATTAACGATTCGGACAATTGTAATGGCGCATATTGCTATTCCGGATTCGTCTGGTGTCATTGATTTTTGGTCAAGCTGGAGTCCATTTGCGAATCTCGTTTCCCGTCATTTGGCTTACACCGACGCACTGGTGCTCCCGAATGGCCAAATACATAATGTTTTTTAAGAAATTTTTCTCGATTCTATACTCAAGCTCGATATACGCAGTATGTCAGAAAAATAACGGAGCTTTTTGAATTAAAAAAAGAAAATTAGTTATTTTGCCAAAATAATTTTGTTTTATTCAAAATACATCCCTTCTGCCTCAATACACCGCTGGGCACGTTTGACTAGTGCCAGCATAGATTTTTTATATCATTTTGCGAAATCGCCTCAATGACTCTTGTCACCGCGCCTTGGACTTGTGTAACACTGTCATAAAACGTTCCTTTTATGGCCAGTTTCAGTTTTGGAAATAGGAAATAATCACATGGAGATAAGTCCGGCAAATACGGAGGATGTTGGAGCCCACAGACCTGTTTTTTCACCAAAAATTCGCGAACAGCGACAGTCCTGTGCGATGGTGCATTATCGTGCAACAAAAACCAACTTCCTGGCGCTCGATATTCGGGCCTCACTCGAACGATTTTTTTCCACAAACGCTCCATAACACCCAGATAATATTCACCATTGACATTTTCACCCTGTAGAACGAATTCCCGAAGTATAATACCTTTATAATCTTAAAAACAGATCAACATTGTCTTCTCTCGTGACTTTTGGAATCGCAATTTTTTCGATTTCGGAGAGTCTGGGGACTTTCACGTTGCACTTTGGTGCTTTGTTTGTGGATCGTACTTGAAGCACCAAGTCCTGTCTCCAGTCACAATCGATTCCAGGAATGTGCAGTTCCGTCTGGCTGTTTTAATAAGATCCTTGCAATGTTCAACGCGAGCAATCTGTTGACCCTCATTTAATGCGTGAGGAACAAATCGAGCACAGACTTTCCGTCTGTTTAAGTACTTTGTAAAAATTTCGTGAATCATGTCTTTAGTCGTATTTAATACCTCTGACATCCATCTCACACTTGAAGTCGCATCGTAGGTAATCATTCCACGCACTTTTTCCACCAACTCATCGTGATTTTTCTTTTTTGGCCGGCCTGGCTTTGGGTCATCTTCCAAAGCATCACGACCGTCCTGGAATCGTTTATACCATTCGAACGCACGTGTACGGGATAAACAATCATCACCATAAACTTTTTTCATCAATTCAAATGTTACTGTAAAAGTTTTCCCGAGCTTGAAACAAAATTTAATATTTGCTCTTTGTTGCATTGTATTTCTGCGACCAAGTGACAAAAGGTACTGCCACTTTAACCGTTATAACTTGACAATCCGTTAATCGATTCCAATAATGATGCTTTTGTTTTGTACAGGAAATATACAGCTTTCAGGTTACATATTCATTCAATAGATGGCATTAGACGTTTTCATTAAATTTAAAAAGTTCCGTTATTTTTCCAACATACTGTGTAGGACATTTCGACTATCCGGAATTTCAGAATAACCGGCATATTTATCCCGACTATTCTTCGGTATATGTTACGGATTATATTTCACGTAAACAAAGAAGTTACAGCCGCCATGCATCTAGCAGAGACATCGATGCTAAACAATTGAAGAATAAAGCTTATACATTTTATATATTCTATTTGTTATAAATTAATTGTATCATTAGATTACCCATGATTCTGTTTATTACAAATCAAAAATAAATTTTAAAGAAAAATCAACAGGCGGTAGCTGCTGAAATTTTTCGGCGAAATTGAAAAGTTTCAAATCGTTCTGGGAAAATTATTTTCGGTTACGAGCGTCAATTACAAGCATTTTTGGTGGATAGACATAACCCCGAAATCCTACGCAGTTTCGAGAAAAAAATTCATTCCCGAAAATTTCATGTCTGACCATACATTGACATGTTTCACTGAAATCTCATGCGTATGTTTAAAACGTCATAACTTTTGAACCGATTGGACAATTTTAAAGTTTCAAACGACCAACAACGCGCATTTTGGCGGAGAATATGTAGGAATTGACAAAATGTTGGAAAAGTAGTTTCTTAACCCCGTAAATTGAGAAAAAATCCATAAAAATGGTCCAATTTTCAAACGACCACAACTCCTACAATAGAGAGCGTGTTTCATTGAAATTTATTTCTGTAGTAGAGTTCATTGATACCTATAAAGAAGTATTAAACAACATTTCCGTAGAACGTCAAACAAATTGATTAAAAATAAAAAACAAATTTTTAAGAAAAATCGACAGAGGGTAGCTGGCTAATTTTTCAGCGAAAATGAAAATTTCAAGATGTTCTGAAAAAATTATTTTCGACTCCGGAGATCGATTGCCCTCATTTTTAGTGAAGAGATATACCTGTAAAATCCTACGCGTTTTCGAAAAAAAAATTCCTAATCGAAAATGTAATTTTTGTTGCCCGAAAATTGCATGCGAATGTTTAAATCATCATAACTTCTGAACGGATTGGACGATTTTAAAGTTTTAAACGGCAAACAACGCGTATTTTGTAGCTGCCTAAATTTTTCGACAAAAAAAGTTTTCAAATCGTTCTACAAAAATTATTTTTAGTTGCGAGGGTCAATTATAATCATTTTTTATAAATATACATACCCCGAAATCCTACGCAGTTTCGAGAAAAAAATTCAATAGATGCTGAAATTTTTCGACGAAATTACAAAATTTCAAATCGTTCTAAAAAAATTATTTTTAGTTGCGGGAGTCAGGTACAATCATTTTTGGTCATTAGACATACCCTCGAAATCCTACCCACTTTCTAGAAAAAAATTCGAGGAGGTGCGAAATTTTTAGACGGAAAAAAAAAATTTCAAATCATTCTGGAAAAATTATTTTTGGTTGCGAAGGTTAATTACAATCATTTTTGGTGAATACACATACCCCCGAAAATCTACGCAATTTCCAGAAAAAAATTCTTTTCTGAAAATATAATGTGAGGTTAGAATGTTGCCCTGAAATTCCATGCGTATCTTGAAAACATCATAACTTCTGAACGGATTGGAGGATTTTAATGTTTCAAAATGCAAACAACGCATATTTTTGTGAAGAATATGTAGAAATTCTACAAATAGTGGGAAAGTTGTTCCTTAACCCCGTAAAGTGAAAAAAGCCCCATAAAAATGGTGCAATTCCTCGTTTTTATCACTTCATATGTAGGTATAGTCCAATTATCCGGCATACTTGATTTTCCGGTATTGCCCCAGTCCCGAATATGCCAGATAATCAGTATTTTACTGTATACGAGATATGATATATCGTGTCTGTGTCTCTTCTCCCTCCACTGCAGTCATATTAAATAAACAAATTCTAACCTGCATTTAATAACATTGTGTGTTCAGGCTAAACATGCAAAACTTTCAGTATCATTTATCATGAGTTCAACTTCTGAGTTGCGTACCAAGTAACGATTTGTGATAGACCTTTTAACGTTGTGAAGTTATAATCTATGTATAATTCCAACTAAACATCATTAGACTTCTGGTTGTTTCCAAAGTCACTCCAAAAATACTCCAGAGTATAAAATTAAAAATTAAGAAATGTATCATGCATTACCTTTACACCACTGTATTTAAACTAAAAAAATAATGGTTTATATTATGACGGCTTGCTATGTGAAGAAACTGAGTAGGCGAGATAACAGGAGCCTAGCAGCAATGATTGATTGAGTACTTGTGAAAGAGCGTAGCCCTCTGTTGGCGAATGCAAGAACTGTCACCACAATATAATTGATGCTAGAGCCAAATAATTTTTTTCTCCGTCATTTCCTGCCCCAGTAAACATAAATAACGGGAAAAAAGTTTCGTTGCAAAAGGTAGAAATTATTATCAAAAATTTAACATGGTGATTTTCACTTAATAGCATCGTGTCCTTTCAGCGACCACCTGAAAATCCACATGAAGACTCACGACACCCAGAAGCCCTACCAGTGTACAGCTTGTTCGCGAGGCTACAACACGGCAGCAGCGTTAACGTCGCACATGCAGTCCCATAAAAAGCACCATCATCAGTCCCAGGGTACGGCCAAGCTGCAGGACGTGGATTACGGGAGGCGAAGCGTTTCCTCGCACAGCACGTCGTCGCCGCCGGTTCCAAGTTCCCCGTCACCGTCCTTGAATCTAACCTTGAATCCGAAGGCCGGCCTGAAAAGCTCGCAAGGCAGCGCTTCCACCACGCCGATCCTGAGCTCGCCTCTGAAGCTCGCTTGCATGTACTGCACCAGGGACTCGTTCAGTTGCATGCAGCAGCTGCAGATGCACGTGCATACGATGCACCAAGCGATCCTGAGCGGAGAGAGCGTGGCGGTGCCGCCGTCGCCAAGCAGGAGCAACGAGCAGCTCGCCTATCAGCGCGACAAAGCGTCGAATCATCGGGCGGAAGCGACGTCCAAGGATCACGAGAGGAAGTACCAAGAGGAGTCGGACAGATCGATGGAGAAGGAGCACTACGAGAACGCATTCACCTGTAATCAATGCACCATGAAGTTTTCCGCGTTGAGTTCGTTGAGGGATCACTTGATCTCCATTCACAGAACCGACGGTTTCAGTTCCGCGCTGATGATGTGTCCCCTGTGCGGAATCCCTTGCGCTTCGGCGGCTGCCTACGCGGAGCACTACGTTCTCCAGCACTGCGAGAACCGACGGATCGGGCCTATGGAGGGTCGAGAGTTCCTGAACAAAAGCAACGGGAGTTACGGAGACTCGAAGAGCTCGAGGAGCCAAAAGATCAGGGAGCAATCGGCCTCGGAACCAGCGGATCTGACAAGCAAGCATTCCAGGCCGACGGAAAGCAGCTACACCGCGGGCACTCTCCTCTGTGGTCAGTGCGGAGCTGCTCTGAAGGACTTCGAGTCGTTCAGGGAACATCTGGCCAGGCACCTGCAGGCGGATCACAGAAACGACGCGATACGACATCCCTGTCCAAAGTGCGAGGCTGCTTTTCAAGACAGGGAGGAAATGCTGTCGCATTTAACAAAACACTACCTCGGTCAGATCAGCAAAGAGTACGCCTGCGGGGCCTGCAAGAAACTTTACGCTCATCCCGACTTGCTCCAGAGGCATCTGCTCGACAGCCACGCTCATCATCTCTACAGATGCGCTCTGTGCAGGGACACTTTCGACTCCAGGGTGGCGATACAGGTTCACTTCGCGGTGAAGCACAGTCAGGAGTGCAGGATATATCGTTGCAACGCGTGCACCGTTCCCAATAACGAGAACTCGCCGGGAAACGCGCCCGGTGAGGGAAGAAGCTTCTTCAGGAGCGAGTCCGAGATGGCGAGTCACGTTAGAAACGTTCACGCGCCGCCCACGGTGTCCAACAGCAGCCCCATAGCGAGGAGTCCGGCTTCCACACCTGGCATCACGGGAAACTCCGGACCCAGGTGCGTTTTCTGCGGTATCTGCTGCAACTCGGAACTGGAGCTGCAACTGCACTTGGCCAGTCACTCGACCAGCCTCTACAGATGCCCGATCTGCAGGGAGGGCTTCGCCGTCGAGTTTCTGCTGGACAGACACATCGCCCAAACGCACCATTCCGGCGAACACCAGGCTAGCGTCAGGAGCAACTCCAGGGAGAATGGACGAATAGGAAGACTCCCCAGGTCTCAAGAGGAGGTGGGTACTGCAACATTATGTTCTTGAAAATTATACTAATGTCCCAAGCATAGCAACTGTCACCACCAAACTATCATAGAGAGATGACTCCATTGGCTGTAGCGTAATAGTAACGCCTGTCCTCACACGCATTGTCTTTATTGGCTGAGTCGATCACGATTACGATTCCATCGCGTGACGAAGGACACGAACTAAACGTATCGAGACAGAGCAGGATAGAACCGTATTAAACGACATTGGCGTAAGCTCAGAATATTGATCATGAATAGAACAAAAATGTATCTCTCGCGGATATGAAGATCCTACTAGTATGTGTCGCGACTGCTAAGAAGGTAAGAGTGTGGAACAACTTACTACTCTTGCTCTTACGCTGTTTAGTTTGTAGGTACCTAGCCACTCAAGTCATCTCTCTATGGTCTACCAATTATAGCACTTGATTTTTTACTCGATTACTACATCAAGATATACATGACACATATGTAACTATCGTCACGATTTTTCAGACACTTCCAATAGTCTGATGAAAAAATGTTTCAGACAAAAGTTAACCGGTTTCTGATCAGCTACAAGTTTAAATACAAAAAGTGCCTAAATTTTCGTTAAGTATACCTTATTTCAACGCAAATGTAAATATTAATTTCAATTATACGTTAAATAATCTATGTACCATAAAGGTATACAATATATAAAACTTAAGTGCATAATAGTTATACATACTACTTTGGTTAAATTTAATTTATACTTATTTCCTTTACCTGCCCATTTAATGTTGTCTACAACTGTAGATCATTACTAAACTGTGGGGAAATTTTAATTTTCAAAAAACTGCATAAGATACGAATTATTATAATTAGGGGCCGAGACAACTCCCTATAAAGTTCCCATATCATTAATTCTATTAATAAAAATATGAATAAATGCATAAAGATCCACAGTCTGATCATTACATTCAAAACTAAAAAACAGCTACTTTCGTTACAGTCAAAGTCGCAGAAGAGAGGCCGTTCCCCAGCCTCGAGCAACAACAACTCCCTAAACCAACGTGACAACAACAACAAACGAGCGAACTACACCAGTATAGGGATGCAACAGTGCGAGTTGTGCGAAAGGGGAGAGTTCGCGAACGAAGCGGAGCTCCAGGCTCACAAGAAACTGGCCCACGCGTCGGCCAAGTTGCAGAACAAATCGCTGTCAAGTCTTAGCATGACGTGCGCTTATTGCGGCGAGGTGTGTCGTTCTAGAGCCGAGCTGGAGTCCCACACTAGGATCCAGCATGCCTCGAACGAGCCCGGTGGACGTCACAAGTGCAACATATGCGACGAGGTGTGTCCGTCGGGATCCACGCTCGCCGAGCACAAACTTCAAAAGCATTGCAAGATCCAGCTGAGCGACACCTGTGTCGTTTGCCGCGGCAGCTTGGTCTCCGAATCGCAGTTCCTCGAGCACGTTCAGAGACACAGTCTGGAGAACGTGGACCCTCAACAGAGACTAGACGATTCCCTGCCCCATCTTCCAGCAGCTTGTGTCGTTTGCAGGCAAACGTTGATCAGCGACCTGGAGTGCCGCCTTCACGCCAGGTACCACCTAAAGGCTTCGCCCGGTTCGCAAAGTTCTACGTCCAGTCCCAGTCCTAAACAGAAAAGTCAAAGTCCGGGTTGCTGTCTCTGCCTGAGGGATTATTCCGCCGACGATTTCGTCAGTTTGCCTCCCAATCATATGAGCGGCGGAGGGCAGTCTCTGAGAGTCTGCAAATCTTGTTACATTCGTCATTCTCAGGGCCTGCCGATACTGAACTCGCCATACGAGCACGTTAGAGCTAAATGCGACAGAGACTGGATCTCTAGCAAGGATTCCCAATGGGACGGGTCCAGGGATAGATGGGACTCCGAACGCGTGTTTAAAATGGAAGAGAGGACGAACGAGGCAAACGATAACAAAAGATGCCAGGATTGCGGGGTGAAGTTCGAGGATCCCGAAGAGGCAGAGAAGCATAGACTCGCGGAACACGAGAAGATTGGATCTGTGTCGAATACCTATACCTGTATACAATGTCAGGTAATGTAGGACATTTTTAAATTAATTAGTCTTATAATGCAAAGAAGAGTGGTAAAAACTTGTAATTAGGGACTACCATCATGGTCCAAAATCACTCTTCTTTAAATGTCGTTAATCTGCGTTGAATTTAGGGATCAATTTCTTAATGCGCTGCATCTCTTTTCCAGATGTCGTTTCCAACGGAAGCTAAGATACAGCAACACGTTAGGAAGGAACACCTAGAAGCATCTGGAAGGGCTTCCATCGAGGCATTGCGGTGTCATCTGTGTCTTTTCGAGGCTGGTAGTCCTCTGCAATTGCAAAGCCATTTGATAGAACACACTTTCGCCGGTTGCGCTGCTCTCAGCTGTTACATCTGCCAATCTCTCTTCACCGCGCCTATTGGTCTTCAGGTACTATTATATACTTTACATTCGACTATTCCATCTTAACAATTGAAGAATATCCAATTAAGACTGATTTTTTTGGAGCCAAGCTTATAATATATGATTTACACGTACTATTGAGAGACAAGATGTTGGCACACTACCCACAAGCTAAACCGACGCTCCGCCTAATCCCCTCCACTGTTTAGATTCTTAGCTCGACCTTGGTTCTAGACTTGTTTAGGGGCTTGGTTCGTGATCGACGTATCCAATAATAACCAAAAACCTAAACAGTGGAGGGGATTAGGTGCAGTGTATGGATGATTCTCTGTGCCTGTTGCGTCGTTTAGATTGTAGGTAGTGTGCAATCGTTTCGTCTCACAATAGTAGATAGTTCAGTCAATATTTATTGTGTGTGGCATCTGACACAGTGATGCCAGTTGGGAGCAGCTCGAAATAGAGCATTCCCTGCGAACAGAGGCGGAAACCGACCTTTACTCAGAAGGGGGCGGGGAAATTATTTATTAATTTATCTAAGTACACTAAAAACTACAATATTTTATATTTGTAACAAACTCATCAACTATTTGCTCGTTTGAGTTAAGCAATTGAGTATATCCTCGTTTAAAAAACTGTATAAAATTTATTTCTCTAGTGCAACAAGCATGAAAACTTCAATACGATGTTAAAATACTTCTCAATTGATTTAAGATATACTTCAAAGTAGAGAAAGAGCTTTCACAAAATACTTGTGTCCTTGAAAGTGTCAATAGATAAACTTAAAGATATAGATTTTCCGTTATTTTATTTTATTGCGGTGGATAGCTGAAGCACCACCCTTTAATATTTTCAACTTTTCAGTTGGAATGCACGGAAATTAATTATATAAACTTGAATAGTATGGTAAATAATGACTTTCACGTAAATATTATTGAAGTTATTTCTGTATGAAGAGTTATGTAACTAAAACAGGAATTTTCACAATTGAGATACTTTTTTATTTTGTAGTAATGTATAGACTCTACTTTGTTTGATATTAATTGAAAAATGTGATTTAGCATGCTGTCAATCAGATTTTGAAATATTTCTTCCCAAAATTGATTACACACTGATTAATAATTTTCTTGCATTACAACTGAAAAGACCGAACAAGCTAACAGGCTTTAAGAAGCTCTTCCATCCTTCCGGTTTCAGAATCATATGCTGCAGGAGCATGGCCTGGGTGCTCGTCCATACGACTGTTCCAAGTGCACCCTCAAGTTCTTCTTCAGGGCCGAGTTGGATCACCACGTGCTGACGTTCCATCGCTTGGAAGAAACGTCCCCGTCCAACGGAAACGTACAGAACGCCATAGAAGCGAAAAGAACCGACGCGGAGGAACAAAATTGTGACGAGGGCGTCACGGTAAAGGAAGAACTGTTGTTGCCGGACGTTGGCGAGGAGGATGAAGAGATCAACGTCGACGAGCAAATGGAACAGGACGACCAGAAAGTTGACAGCCACGCGGAAGCGGATCTGAAGCTAAAAGCCGAGGTCGATGTAGAAACTGCCCCCGACAAGACGGAATCGTGATTATTTTGAAAAGGCAACGCAAAGTTACTTCGGACAGCTTGAAATAAATCACGAGCCTGTAAAAAAAATCGAAGTTTAACACGATTTAACTAAATCAGTCCTTAACTATTTCGGTGCTGAAGAACATATTCATCGAATTTCTGAACTACGCTAATCGACTGAACGCTTTAGACACCGAACAAGTTACGAAGGTTATCGTTAGGGTGATAGTTTGATTTTACAATTCTGTTTTTGTTTTTTTCATTCACGAAGTCGGTTCGCGATCTAAAAGAATAATAAATCTTCACAAAGGAAGTAAAAATGCGTTACCACTTGAGATCATAAATGCTCGACTAGAGCTGCGATCAGTGCGCAGGACGTTTCAGAAATACGTCTAAATAGTTATTAAGGAATTGAATCTATACGCTAAAGTAACTACAAAATGTTCTGCGTACCTTACTTTTTCGAATTATAGATAATTTTTTTAAAATGCTCAAAATATCCACCGCGTGCCTCAGTGTCAAATTTCGCTCACGTTGGAAAATGTTAGGTGTCTCTACTCCATTTTGTATCATTTCTTTAAATTCATGTTACATTATTTCCTCGCGTTGAATACACAATGGATTTTAAATGGCCCCAAAGCTATTCATAAATACATTTAAATTCAATTTTCTTTGTGCATTTTTCTTTCTGCTTTACTCGATTTATTAACCACAACAACTCTCTTACCCTAACGACGCTCTGCCCTCACATTGTCGATGCACACCTAACCAAACCTTAACCTTAACGGGCGACGCGTAAGGCGCTAACATTTGAATTAGTGGTAGAATGTTTCTACATTTGAAAACAAATGGCCAAAAAATATCGTACAATCGTAGCAAAAAAAAAATCAGAATTACAAGAATTCGATATCATGTCAATATCATTGTAGTTAGATTATCTAAATCGTCCATAACTAAAAAATTAAGATATGCAAGACACGTTCATATGACATTTTTTACTCATTTTAGTGTGTAGATTTAGCTCCTTATTTACATTGTATTTCTGAGAAACCCTGCATATACAACTGTAAATACGTTTCTATTATACTCTGTTTCCTTTTAATTATCTTTTTTCGTTTACGTAGTCGTCGAGCAACCTTGAAACAATAAAGAGAAATCGTCAGATGGTGAGGTAGAGTTTTTACAGTTAGAATTTTTTATGTTAAAGACAGATGCCTCTAATGGAGCATGTATGATGAAATAAGTTTACTGGTTGGTTACTGTTTGAAGCGTGCCACAATGTCAAAGCGAATTTGGCAATATTAACTGAGAAATTTTGCTAATTTCACGCTTTTTTATGGTTGATTTCAAGTGTTTGTTGTTCGATTAAATTTTTATTGAAGATGGTTTGTTCGCGTTCGCACATCCTCCGCTGAATGTTGGAAATATCGTTTTTCTATGGACTGTTCGTTATTTGTTCCGCAAAAATTTCTTTATGTACAGAGTATTTGTGATAGAACGAGTCGTGACTAAAACACCGTGGACGAAAACTGTGGGTTCGAAATTTCATTGAAGCAGAGAACGCCAAATCGTTTGCACCTCGATATGAAAGGTAATAAAGCCAAATCGATTTTTATACGTAAAACTTGATAATAGTTCTTCGAAATACGAATCGACCGTTAATTTTATTCTCCACGTTGATGTTCGAATTCTACACGATGTATTTATTCTATAACGATATTGTTTTATTCTGTTTGAAATTTTAGGTATAAGTCGCAACGTTGAATTTCATTGTCTAATTGATAAACATCGTGTAAAAGAAATAAAGTGAAGGTCATCATCCTACCCAGAGTCTCCCACTAAAACCAAGCCACCTTAATATCAGTGGTTGATACAGTTTCGAAAATAACTGTTTCAAATTATTGTATATCGAATCTGAATTAAAACAGTTATGAAAACCGAAAAAGTCTCATAACTGTTATAGACACGTCGATTCTAACCTACAGTGAGTTGCAGTCAAAATCATACATCACCAATACGAAATATGTTTCACTTTGTAAACAATTTTAGGAATACATATCTTGGAAAAAAGAATACGAGTATACAGGGTATTCGGCCACCTCTAGGAAAAATTTTAATGGGGGATTCTAGAGGCCAAAATAAGACGAAAATTAAGAATACCAATTTGTTGATGGAGGCTTCGTTAAAAAGTTATTAACAATTAAATTCAAAAATTTCAAATCGTTCTGGAAAAATTATGTTCGGTTGCGGAGGTCAATAACTATCACTTTTGGTGAATACATATACCTCCGAAATCCTATCCGCTTTTGAGAAAAAAAATCGGGTAGGTGCTGAAATTTTTCGGCGAAATTGAAATGATTCAAATCGTTTTGGAAAAATTATTTTTGATTATGGAGGTCAATTAGAATTTTTGGTGAATTGACATACCCCCGAAATCTTACGCATTTTCGAGAAAAAAATTCAGAACGGGTGGAACTTTAAACGTTAATAACTTTTTAACAAAACCTCCATCAACAAATTCGTATTCTTGATTTTCGTCATATTTTGGCCTCTAGAATCCCCCATTAAAATTTTTCCCAGGGCGGCCGAACACCCTGTATGTTGTAAACATATCTATGTTTAATGTGTAGTAACACCAAGGCCAATGAACAAACTCAGTATGAAACAATGCAAAAACCATGCAATTAAAATCGTTTAGTAGACTTTTTCTGCATGAAAAATCCCCAGAAACAAATGAAAATCTTGCAACAGAAGAATGTTAATTCATGTTGTGTAGCGTTCAAGTAACAAAGTAAAACGAAATATTAAAAATGAAGCAAACAATAGTAAAGGAGCGACAGATTGTTATTGGGAATTATGAAAATGGTAAAAATTGTAAGAGAAATCGTATAAATTATTGCCAGGAACATTTAGTATAGTGTAAATACATCATAAAACGGTACAAAAAAGGCAGAATTATAAATAAATTAAAAATTGCACCAAATATGAAATTTAACGAACTCGATGAAAAATGGATATGTCGAATAATTAAAGATAATTCAAAAGCTTAGTGTACCACAATTGACTAACAAAGTGGATAAATATCTAAAAAACGTGTTCATTCGGAGACGGTAAGACGAGTTTTACGAAAAGAAAATTTTCGCCAACAAATATTTAACTAAAGACTAATTTCTGGAAAGTGGTAATTTTTACTAACGAAAGTACATTTAATGTTTTCCATTCCAAGTGAAAAATTACCGTGTGGCGTCGACCTAATGAAGAATTTAAAATAAAAAATATGAATTCCATAATTATACATGGAGATAGATCAGTAATGGTTTAAGTAATTTAGTATTCATTGAGGAGAACGTGGATAAATATGTGTATCTGAATATTCTGAAAAGTAATTTTAAAATAGTGCCGAAAAATTGGAAATTTTTAATTGCGTTAAATTTTACGTTTACAACGACTCAAAACATACTTCACACATAATACCCCTCCCCAATCACCTGAATGTAATAGAAAATATGTGAAACTAATTGGAAATTAGAATTCGAAAATATATAATTTCAAACAAAATTAAATCCGATTTCACAGAAAAACTTATAAAATCGATCTGTAGAAGATTGCATAAATATGATTCTATACGATACAATTTTGTTTACATTTAAAAACGTTAATTGGCATTGATGTTACAACACAATAAACGTAAATACATATATCTATTTAAATTTAAATTTTTTTTTCCAAGCCATCCTTGAACTTTTTTATAAAAATAAAAATTCTTAATTCTTTTTTATGAAAATGAAACATATTTCGTACGTGTGGTGTACGATTTCGACTATAGCTCGCTGTATATCGATATCAATTAGGGTTCTGCAGAATCAATATAATACTGATTCTGAAACTGTTATTTTTTTTATTACAGTTCTGTATATGTACGTGATTACATCGATTTCAATACGGTTCTTATTAAATTTCTGAAAATATTAACACATCTGCGAGACACGTACTAATATTACATAATACTTAATAACTAATAATACACGATTTCCTTATTTCGTATGCTATGTCGAGTGTCAAAGAGGTAATTTTTGCTACGGCGTACCTATTATATAGAACTGTAATTGAAGCAGAATCAAAAAATAACAATTATGAAATCGATAATCGAAACCAAAATCGAAACGAGCCATAACGGTTATAATATTGATTCTCATGACTGTATCAAGAACTGAAACCGATATTGTAATTGTTTTCAACCCCCGTTTAATATTTTTGTTATTTTGTATAATAACAAGATGCGTTGCTTACAAGAGTTGTATAGCTTCGCGATGGATGCAACATGGTGGCTATAGTTTGTGGGTGAAAACGTTAGAAGAGACTTTACGTTGATCGTTAACATTACTGTATCGAGTGAAATTACATTTATTTATTATTCCGCGCGGGAGTGGATCTACCTGTAACATAAGAACATCGTTATTTCTTATTAAAAAAAAAAAAAGAAACTAGCGTCTCTCGATGACGAGATTTTGTAAATACGTTAAATAGTATTAGAAACTATTACTCCACATGTTTTATCGATCTGTCGATACCGTAAGCGGTAATTATTTAAAGGATGCAGATGCAATAACTTTGTCCACTAGGCTTAGCGACACGGTAAGATAGTTCTTTACGAAATAAATTATTGTTTTAAATCGCCGAGGACCCACTACGAGTATTTATCCTTCCCCGTCAACGATGGTCGCGCAATGAATAAAAAATTAAATATTAAACATTACATGGCAAAGATAAAAAGTATAAAATGGAATGTAATTATTTTTCATCCGTTAAAAAGGACACATGGTTTGATTATGTGTATTATTTGCCATTACCAACAGCCATTATTTTCATCGTGGAGTGGTTCTGACTTCCACAGCCAAGGGACGGTTTTATAAAAAATGATTAGACATTGCACAAAATACCGTTGTTGACTGAAGAAGCTTTCGTAAAGAAGTAAGTATTAATATTTTTGATAATATTTTGATTATACGAAAACTTTTATATAATTACTAGAAAGAACAAAATAGAGGTCCATAAAATCCCCGACTTCACACAAACAAGGCACTTCACTGGCTTCATTTTCGAAAACCTATTATAACCCACTACAATATAAATCAACTGTGTAATCAGATAAATGGAAT